TCAGGTGCTCTTCACAGACTACAGTTGTCAGATTCCTCATTACAGTTTTCACAATATCCTGTCTAAAAGGGCCTATGTTTATTCAATCTATTATCAATTCAGCAAATGTTTTGCAGTGCTGGGACTTGAACTCAGAGCCTACACATTGAGCCACTCCACCAGTCCTTTTTTGTGATGGGTTTTTTTTTGAGACAGGGTCTCACAAAACTATTTGCCTGGGCTGGCTTCAAAACTTGGTATTCCTGATCTGTGTCTCCTGAATAGCTAGGATTACAGGTGTAAGCCACTGGCACCCGGCTTCATAGTATTTATTTCCTGACTTTATGTTCAGGAATGTAGCAATTCTATCTTTAATTGGTATTCCTTAGTTTAGGGAAATTCTGTTTTATTCTTCAGGTACTAATTCTCAAGTTTTCCTTCAGGATTGAGGATGGGAGATAGTACCTTGGATGCATGGAATGAGAAAGAGGATCTGGGTCTCTGCCTTTTATTTATTTTTGTTAGCCTATGTTAATTGTACAAAATACTGGTTTTCATTAAGACATTTTCATACATGCATATAATACACTTTGATCATATTAACAACCTTTATTACCCTTGCTTATCCCCCCTTCCCTTTTCCCTTTCCTCATCCCTAATAGTCCCACTTTCACTTTCTTGTCCTTTTATTTCTCAACAACTGGATTCTACATATGAGAGAGAATATGGACTATTTGTCTTTCTGAGTCTGGTTCATTTCAGTTAACATGATGATCTATCTCTACTTCTATTCATTTTCCTTCAAATGACATAATTTCTTTTTTCTTTATGGCTGAATAATACTCCATTGCATATATACCACATGCTCCTTCCTTCGTTCCTTCATTCCTTCGTTCCTTTGTTCCTTCCTTCCTTCCTTCCTTCCTTCCTTCCTTTCTTAGGTTTTTGATGGTACTGGAGTTTGAACTCAGGGTCTTATGCTTGCCAGCAGATGATCTACCACTTGAGCCATGCGCCCACCCCTTTTTGCTTTAGTTATTTTTCCAGTAGGGTCTTGCATTTATACCCAGGCTGGCCTAGAATGCAGTCCTCCTATTTAGGCTTCCCACATAGCTGAGATAATAGGCATTCACTATTATGCCTAGCTTTTTATTGGTTAGATGGGGTCTTGCGAACTTTTTGCCTGGGGTTGCCCTTGAGCCATGATCTTCTTAATCTCTGCCTCCCAAGTAACTAGGATTACAGGTGTAAGCCATTTTGCCCGGCCATACCACATTTTATTTATCTATTCATTTGTTGATGAGCACCTTGGATGATTCCATAACTTGGCTATTGTAATTGTGTCACCATAAACATGAGTGTTCAGGGATTGCCATTGTATGCTGATAGACTCCTTCAGGTATATACCCAGGAGTACAATAGTTGAATCACAGGGAAGTTCTATTTTTAATATTTTGAGGAGCTTCCATAGGGATTTTCATTGTGGTTTCAATAATTTATATTTCCAACAAATGTGTATAAGGGTTCCCTTTTTTTTACATCCTTGCCAACATTTGTTGTTTGTTTTCTTGATGATTGACATTCCAAATTGTGTGAGGTGGAATGATTTACATTTCTCTGATGGCTAAAGATGTTGAACATTTTTCATATGTTTTTTGGTCACTTGTACTTCTTTTGAGAACTGTCTATTCTATTCACTTGTCCATTTATTGATTAGATCATTGGATCTTTTGGTGTTTTATTTTTTTGAGTTCCTTTTTTTTTTGAGTTCCTTATATATTCTACATATGAATTCCCTATTGGTTGAATAGATGGCAAAGATTTTCTCCCATTCTGTGGGCTGAGAGGCTGTTAGACTTCCAATGAATCTTTTTTCTTTAGGTATCCCCTCTTTGCCCTTACATCCAAAAGGTATGCAGTGCTATCTCAACATTTAGGAAAATTTAAATCAAATTGACTCTTGGCTTTTCCCATCGCTCTTATAAAATTCAATTTTCTCAGTCTCCTGTCATTAACCCTTAGTCTCAGTTTAACAGCTTCTAAAACATCATTGTTCTTACTTCATCTTCTGTTTTCCTTTTCCTTTGGGTTGGGTATATCTTTAAAAACTCATTTACTGGGGCAGGAGAAAAATACATTCATATGCCTATTCTGCTATCTTTCCTGGAAGTCTTTGCCTTTATCTCAATTTGATCTCTTTTGAGTTCACATTCTTCTGAGTGATTGGAAAGTACTTGCTGTCAATCAGGATTTCCTCAATCACTTCAGTGCTCCCTCCTCCTTGGATTTGCCTCTAAATTCCAGGTGGCTTATATAGAACCATAAGATTGATATGGGAGTAAGCGGGAATATTTTTGGTTTTCACCGTGTAGTCACACTGATACCCATAACTACTTGTCGGTCACCTAGCCCTTTGTTAGCACTCTATGGGCATCACATCTACAATCTCTCTTTTTAAATTTTTTTTTGTGGTACTGGGGTTTGAACTCAGGGACTACAGCTTCAGCTGCTCTACCAGCCCTTTTTCATGATGAGTATTTTTGAGATAGGTTCTGGCAAGCTATTTTTCCAGGCTGTCTTTGAACCACAATCCTCCTGATCCCAGCCTCCTGAGTAGCTAGAATTACAGGCGTGAGCCACCATCCCTTTTTTGAACTGGGGACTTTTCATGTGTTAGGCAAATGTGATAACCACTACAGTACAGAAACGTGGTACATCTATAATCTTTCTATCCCAACTGTAGGTATTCATCAGGTTTGTAGGCTCTCAGTAGCATGCTGGTGTGTAAGGAGGTTTGATGAGGTGGCACCACACCTATCCATGCAAGCAAACCAAGTGGCTGTCTCTCCTGTTTCCACACCATGCTAGGCATGAGTTTTGTGACTTCCTGTCTCCTCAGATTCCACATGGGAGGGAGGGCACAGACTTCAAGCTCTTCAAGTCTCTTAGGAGCCATACTGTTTCCCTCCACAGGAAGCTCAGTGTATTGGAGTCTATGGCTGATGCATTAATATTATGCCCTAAGTCCTTCATACTTCTGGATTATGAAATTTAAAAGCTCATGTTAAACCAGGCTTGGTGGTGGGTGCCTATAATCACAGCTTATGGAAGTGGAGGCAGGAGAATCATGATTTGAGGCTACCCTGGCCTGCACAGTGAGTTCTAGGCCAGCCTATGCTACACAGCAAAGCTCTGTCTACAAGATAAAAGAGTTCAGGCTATGGTATCTCTCAAAAGCCATTTCTCCAAAACTATTATTTCTGTCAAGAGTTTCTTTTTTGTTTTGTTTTGGGGACAGGGTATCACTATGTTTCTTGGGGTGGTCTTTACCAAGAGTTTCCAGAGCTTATTTAGAAATTCAAAAGTCAATAGTACATTTTCCCCTTCATTCCCCACCACGATATTCTGAGGCCTTGAAAGTGGAATTCCCTACCTGCAACCTGGTAGGGTTAAGGTCATCACTAGTAGGCCTTTGTGCTAATCCCTTTTCTCTGTTAATTACTTTCTTATATATGTAATTTGCCTTTTTTTACTTGAATGCTAGGTTTGTTGAAGTCAGAACTACACTTAGAAATTATTTTTTAGGAAAGCACAACATTTTCTTTATCTTTATAAGTGTATTTAGCATATAATAATTATCCACAGATTTGTTGAAGACCTTTAGCTATGTATCTTTATGGCATATTAATGTGCCTGGAGTATAGAAAATATTTAAATAATTGACAAATTTGATGAATATACCTTGGAATAATTCTAAAAGAGAAAATTAACACAATGTTATCTTTGCACAATTAAAAAAGAATATATTATATTTACTTAGAGAATAATAACTACATGAATATAAAAGTCAAGAGGCTAAAATTTTTTTTTAAAAGGACCTTTATGTATAATTAGAAATAATCCTTCTTTTCTAATTTGACTTTTCAATTTCAGGGTCTAGTTGACAGTTCTGTTTTAGAAGCCCAGCTCTTGAGGCCAAATAGGACTCATTTTCCTCACTGTTGCCTGCTGCTCCAGTGCCAAGAATGCTAGTATGTTCCCTTTTTTAGAAAGGTGGGGAGGGGAGGCTGGTGTGGGGAAAGCCCACTGTTAGGAAAGGTCTTTGGTAACTAGGGTAGAGGTAAACATATCAAGTGAGTGCAGATATTTCTAGGATATATTCTGAGAAGTTGGAGGGGTAGTAAGAAAAATCTATTCTGGGCTGCAAACATAGGGGAAACTGTGGTCTTTCAGGATGTGTCAAGCATAAATTAATTTTATACCAGGCATTGCTGTCAATTGTTTCATTCAGATTAACAAATGCCCCTTGAGTCTTACCTAAATACAAATAACTGTCTAGCCCCCAGGTAAAATACAAAAATGAGTAAGATACAGCTCTTGATTTTAGTAGAATTTGCCACAGATTTCCTCATTATTTTTCTCATAACCCACTAGCCATGTGATTCTGCAAACTACATTTCTCAATCACTCTCCATTTCCTATGGGGCAGAACACAAATCCCTTTCCTGACTTCCAAGTTCTTTCATGATCCAATTCAAAATGATTGTCTGAGTCCCTTTTGCATGTGTTGAATAGGCCACTACCATGTTCTCTTATAATTCTGTGAAAATGGTTGAAATGCCTACTTACTCTTTACCATTGAGCTGAAATGTGACATTCTGTATGACATATTCTGTGGCTCCCTTTTTGCCCCAGGCTATGTTAGAGTCCCCTTCATTATACTTCCTTTCTGCCTATCACTATTATAATACTCAGTGATATAATTTTGGAATTATTTGTACTCAGTTTATGTTTCCCCATAGTGAGAAATGTCCTGAAGTGATGGGATTTTCTCCTTTTTATCTCTATATCTCCAGCACATGTCATAGTCCTGGTATACAGCAGGCACAGAATTAGTAATGGCTTGATGAGTGAATGAAATGAATTCATTCATCATTGTTTACTTTTTTGATATGTTAACTGCCAATTTTTAAGATTCCAGTTCTCTTTTCCCCATTGTTACTTTTCAATTCTCTTTCCAGAATGCTGTCAGAAGGGTATCTCAGTGGACTTGCCTATTGGAATGACATCCACTGGAATTATGCATCTTATAATGAGCAGGTGGCTGGGGAACAGGAAGAAGAGACAGATTCTGTTGCTGCTCTTTCCTATTCTTCTGTGGATGAAACACAAGTCAGAAGTCTCTATGTGAGCTGCAAGTCCTCTGGAAAGTTCATTTCTTCAGTACATTCAAGAGAGAGCCAACACAGCAGAAGTCAGAGAGTCACGGTGCTGCAGACAAACCCAAATCCTATGTTTGAGAGCCCCAACTTGGCTGCAGTTGAAATATGCAGAGACCCCAGAAGAGGGACCTACTTGGTTCCACCTTCCTGCAAAAGTATTTGCAAGAATTACAATGACTTACATATTGCAGGGGGCCAGGTGATGGCCATTAACTCAGTGTCAACAGATTTTCCATCTGAGGGCAGTTTTGAATATGGTCCTTTGCTGAAGTCATCTGAAATTCCCTTGCCCATGGAGGATTCCATTTCTACTCAGCCCAATGACTTTTCCCAAAAGCCTATCCAGAGGTACTCATCCTATTGGAGAATAACCAGCATCAAAGAGAAAAGTAGCCTACAAATGCAGAAGCCTATTTCAAATGCAGTGCTGAATGAGTACCTGGAGCAGAAAGTGGTAGAGTTATACAAGCAGTACATTATGGACACCATGTTTCATGACAGTTCTCCTACTCAGATATTGGCATCTGAACTCATCATGACAAGTGTGGACCAAATAAGTCTTCAAGTGTCTAGAGAGAAGAACCTGGAGTCCTCAAAAGCCAGGGATATAGTCATTAGCCGCCTCTTACAATTGGTGTCAACTGAGATCAGCACTCCGAGTCTCCATATTTCTCAGTATAGCAATGTGAATCCCTAGAGAGGACGCTTCCATCCTCCCAATTACTTGAACTCAAAGCAACACTTTACTCCTTTATTCAGAGAATGTGCGGGGTTGGGGGGGAGGTTGTGAAAAGAAGTTAAGATTTAGAGAAGTGAAGGTTAGGTGGGAGTCAGGTGTGAATGAAGTTTGAGAAATATAATATTATATATGATGATGGAATACTGGAAAAGGAGCCATAGGATGATTTTAAAGATAGTTTTCTACAGCAGCAAAGCAAAAATAAAAAAAATTACTGAAAAGGAAAAGCTTATGATTGATTTATGGGAACATAGAAATTAGAAAAGACATGCCTAATAAAAAAGGAAACACCATGGCAAAACTAAAAAGCCAAATGGTATCAGAATAGAGTTAAAAATATGTTTGTTGCCCAAATAAAGTCCTCTCAAGTTGTTTCTTCTTGAGGGAAATGGATTGCAGAAGGCAGCCCTATTTGGGTAGAAAGATATGTTAAAACATTTTTCAAAGTATATGTTTATACTTCTTTTCTCTAATCTGTATCAGTATACCATTTAGATATATTCTTTGTAAATATTAAACATACAGCAAATTGCAACTGTGCTTTTATTTTTGAATGACTACTTAGTTACAGTCACAAATTCTCTAATTCTTTTTACTGGTGAAGATGACATTTTCTTTTCTTTTTTGTTTTGGTCTACATGCTTTTTAAAATTGGTGTATACTAATTGTACAAAGACATTTTGTTGTGATATTTCCATACATGCATATAATGTACTTTGATCTAATTCACCCCCATTACTCTTTCTTATCCCCCTTTCCTTCTTTTAAAATAATTTTAGCAAGTTTCATTATGCCATTTTCATACGTTCGTATGAAGTACATCAATCATATTCACCCCTCATCACCTTTTCCTTTAACTCTCTCTTCTCCCAAAGAGTCTCTTTAGTTTAGATTCTGCATATGAGAGAAAATGTGATATTTATCTGAGTCTGGCTTATTTTGCTTAATATGATGATCTCCAGTTCTATTTTCCTGCAAATGACATAATTTAATTCTTCTTTTTAACTGAATGTGTCTTTATTACTCTAATGTGTATAAATTAGATATAGATTATATATATCACATTTTATTTATCTACACTGTTTTTTGAGCACCTAGACTGATTCCACAGTTTGACTATTGTAAATAGTGTTGAAATAAACATGGTATCTCTATTGTATGCTGACTTACATTCCTTTGAATGTAACCACCCAAGAGTGGTGCAGTTGGATCATATGGTAGATCTATTTTTATTTCTTTGAAGAACCTCCATGCTACTGATTTCTGTAGTGGTTGCACTAATTTACATTCCCACCAACACTGTATAAGGATTTCTTTCCCCCATATCCTTTTCAGCATTTGCAGTTTGTTTTCTTGATGATTACCATTCTGATTGGAGTGAGATGTAATCTCAGTGCCATTTTAATTTGCAGAGATGACATTTTGTAGGTAGAAAACACCATAGAGTGAACATTAAACCATTTAGTTTTATTTTGCTATGTATGATTTTCTTTATTGCACCAAGCTTCTAAAGAAATTATGAATACTCTTTTCCCCATTTTCCTCTTCCTTTTTATACATCCTCTTAACCTGTAGCCACTAAAGGGTCTTCTGTATCTTCAAAACAAGGTTATAAGAACCAGAGTTCCACTATATAAATTTCTCATTTCCTAGAATGATAGCTTCATGAGGGTTTCACTGTTCTAACCCCTTTCTTAGCTCAAGAGTTGGCCAAATCAATCTTGCTGCCAGTTTTTAACTGCTGTGAACTAAGAATGTTTTTTCCATTTTTAAATAGTTAAAAAGCCAAAATAAGAATAGTACGCTTTGTCATATGAAATTATATGTCTATAAAATAAATTTTACTAGAAAAAAAGCCATGCCCATTCATTTATGTATTCTCTATGGATGCTTTCACATGAGAATGGCAGAGTTGAGCAGATGTGACAGAGAACATATGGCCCAAGAAAGCCTAAAACACTTACCATCTGGCCCTTTACAAAAGTTTGCCAATCATGCTCAACAGCAAGGCGTTGTACAATGATGGTTGCTTGACTTCATTCACGTTTGCAGAGGAAGCAAAATCTGGAATGGAAATGGGGAACACATTTACTGAAGACTGGCCTGGAAACAGTCTCTGTGAAGGAATGAGGGAAGTAGAAGAGGTTTCCACAAAGAGCTAGGGTGAGCCTTCAAAATATTTGGTTCCAAATTGAAACCAGAGGATTGACTTTTGTACACCAGCATCTACCAGAAGGGGGTGAAACTGAAGCTGAGCAGTTTAATGGACCACAATTTCCAAACTGGGAATCCACCTGGAGTCTTCAGCACCAAACTCGAGGCAGCTGCAGGGGGAATGAGTTCATCATCCCAAAGGAGGGGTCTGGATGGAAGAATCCTTTACATGTCTCCATATTTGTATTTGAAGGGTGTGTGTGAAACTTTCACAGCATATACTGCTGTGTAATGAATTTCAATTTTGATGATTATTCAGAAATGTTATTCACTATTTTAAACATATCACAATAATAGCTGCTATGTATTAATTGCTTGCATTGTATGTAGCACCATGTTAAGGCATTTTCTTTTGGGTGGTCCAGGGATTTGAACTCAGGGCCTCATGCTTGTGACTCAGGTCACATCCCCAGTTGTTTTTGCTTTAGTTATTTTTCAGGTAGGGTCTCATTTTTTTTTTCTGCCTGAGTCTTCCTGGATCCCGATCATCCTTAATATGCTACCCACATAGGTAGGAACAGGTGCACACCACCACAACCAGCTTATTGATTGAGATGGGGTCTTGCTAACTTTTTTCCCAGGCTGGCCTCGAGCTATGATCCTCTTGATCTCTGTCTCCTGAGTACCTTGGATTACAGGTGTGAGCCATTGCACCTGGCCACATGTTAAGCATTTTGATGAATTATTTTACATAATTCTCATAATAACCTTAGAACTGAGAGGGTGTTTGTTATCTCTTTTTACAAATGAGCCAGCTGGGCTCAGAAAAGTTAAGCAAATTGTTCAACAGCACACACTAAGTGGGAGAACTGAATTTCAATTGAGTTCCACTTAACTTTAAAGTCTTGTTCACCACCCTGCCAGAGACAGGGTCTCATTATATAGCTCAGGCTAGCCTCAAACTGGAGATCCTCCTGCCTCAGTCTCCCAAGGACTGGAATTACAGACATGTACCACCACACCTAGCTTAAAGTCCTTGTTTTAGCCACTGTCATCTGCTCTCTCCCATTAACCATTGTAAGTCTTTAAAAAATTATTAGTGCATATTAATTGTACAAATTTGTTTCATCGTAATATTTTCATACATGCATATAATGGGTTCTGATAAGGTTCATTTCTCTCCACCATCACACTCTCCCTTCACCCTTAAAATCTGGTTTTCTACTCCAAGGGAGTCAAGTCGTAAATCTGTTTGTTATTATGTTACTTATTTTTCCTTTATATACTGCTTAGTTTTATATCATCCTCTCCCCAGAATATAAGCTTTGACTTATTTATAAGTGTCTCTACATTGCAAGCATTACTTACACATAGTAGAGATCCAGTTCATATTTGTCAAATGGATAAATATGTATTGGCCATATTGACACTTCATCTGGTATCCAAAATGAAAGACCATCAATATACAAACCAGATAATTCTGACTAGGAAAGTGCTATGGAGGTTTCCTCCTCAACAAGTAAAACTAATTGAATAAATGAACTCAATTTATCAAAACAGGTTAGCATATAGTATAATAAAATGCATTATAATAAAATATTGTCATGGATATTATCCTTTGCTTGCTGAGAAATAATTTGTTATAAAGTAGACTGGTTCATTTTTTTTCACTAAGTATTTATTTGATGCTATGTTTTTGGGTTTGCTTTTGGGGTTGGAGCACTGTGTATTAAACATATGGAGGGAAGACACAATGTGTGTGCACACCAACAGAGTAGCAGATCTTATCCTCTGAACTCTTACTGTATTGTTGAATAGTCCTAGAAGATAACTAGGGAACAACTGACAAAGCCAGTTATTACGTTTGAATGTAGCAAATGGTACAAGCATGAATAAGCTTATCAATGATGGTAAGAAAGTGTGATGAGTGCTGAAAAGAAGATGTATTAGTGGATACTGAACAGTGGAGGATTCTAGTGTAGGCAAGCTTCCAAGGGAAAGTGATGGTTTAAATTACTTTTGAAGAACAAGATAGGATCTAGGTAGATGGATAAGAGAGGTGTTCCAGGTAGAGGTGTGAGTGTTTGCTGCAAGACAACTTCAAGTAGATGAAGCTAAATGAATGCATGAATATGGAGTAGATTAGTTTGCTATCACTATCATAACAAACTAATGCAAGTTTAATGGCTTAAAACACATAAATTTATTATCTTACACTTCTGGAGATCAGAAGTCCAAAATCATTCTCACTTCAACCAAGTTGGAAGACAGTAAAGAAAAAAAAGAGGTGTAAAATCAAAATAGTACAAATACAAGTATGAAACAGGTTTTGTCCTGTTAAAGTAGTTTTTCATCATTTTGATAAACATGTATTGAGTACAATCATCTGTGGAGAGCAGATTATGGAAAGCCTATGAGAACTGGACACAGCAAGGCGAGATGTAGCTTGGTTGCTTTCATCTGATGGCTGAGCCCTGGCTCAGCCCCGGCCATGAAACAGAAAAAAGCAGAACAGCTGCATCTCCTAAGTTGTTTCCATTCAGAGAAGCAGGAATGCAGGTTTCTCCTGTTACAATGTCACAGCCCTCCCAGATAGCCACAGCTCCACCCTGTTTAAGGCTATTCATAAAAGACCCCTGAAGGAGGAAGAGAGGCTTTTGCTTTTGGCTCTTGCTTTTGGATTGGGCTTTTTGCCTTTGGTTTTTACTTTGGGCTTTTGCCTTTGGCTTTGGCTTGGGTTTTTCACTTTGGGCTTTGGGCTTTTTGGTGTAGGAAGCTTTTGGAAGGGAAAAGAATTACTGAAGGGAAAACAATTGCTAAAGGGACATTGCTGAAGGGAAAAGAATGGCTAAAGAGGGGTTGATAGAAAGTCTGCATCTAGGACTTTAATGTAAGCCTTAGAAAGCTAAGCTAAAGAAAAGCCAAAGAGAACATAGGACAGTGCAAGATAGAGGACCGAGACTTTAAGAGTTATGCATATGCAGTTTGTTAGGTGTAGCTGTTGCAAGTCTGAGCACCAAGGCTTTAAGAAAGCTAAAGAGAGATGGGACAGTGCAAGCCTGGGGGCAAAAGACTTTAAGAGCAATTAAGAGAAAACATGGGACAGAGCAAGTCTAAGGAAAGAGGTTTTAAAGATTTGCAAGGAGTAAGGCTTTAAAGAATAAAGATAGAGAAAAGAAGCAATGAGGGTTGGGTGTCTCCATCCAAGTGTCCAACACACTTGACACCATTTTCTGTCTGTCTGTCTATTCTGTGTCTTCTCTGCATGTCCAGTCGCCCCCAGTTAGCCCCAGTTAGGTTGAGTAATAACCAAGGAGTGAGGGAGAAACCTCGCTCTAACAAAGGAAGGAGCAAAAA